CTGTCAGGCAAAAGCAACAACCACTAACCCCCCAGCGCGACCCACTTCTGAAGTCTATAAAAAAAGGCATTAGTGAAGCAGGAGGGTGAGCCTCTGCAGCACAGAGTGTTCCCTCAGCAGTACTACCGTCTGCGGGGATAAATAAACTCTTCTCTCTTTATCCGTTTGCTGAAACAAAGTGAAACTAAAGCACAATTTTCAATCTTCAGCATCGTGACAGGAAACGTGGGACGACGTCTGAAACAGAGCGCAGCGTCTGTAACCGGGACACATTTACATAAGAGCCCGACGTCTCCACAGACGAAATCACCGCGTTTGTACCGCAATCACACACGACTCCGACGCCTGTCAGACGCTTCCAAGTTCCATCTGCATCACCTACAGTTACACGCTGGCATTTATTTTTAAAACGTGACGAGTCTGAGCTGATTCTTCTTCTGTTTTTTTGTTCTGCTTATATCAAGCAAAATTAAACCAGAGTGTAATAAACGAGACGATGGGGGAAATGACAACGTGGTGTTTCAGTTCTGCGGGTCCAGACTGAAACAGTCGGCCGTGATGGTGACGTTACAGTCGGCTGGTCCTCACAGTTAACATTCCGTACGGCGTGTCCTGCCTGGACCAGTCCAAACCTCCGCTGTTCAGCCCGTGAACAACAGCCTCCAAACATCTGTCTTCTGTCTGCAGCAGTCTCTGCACAGACCGTCTCCATCCTGACTGAAATGACTCACGAGTGTTGGTTGGTTTGTTTGTTTGTTTGTTTGTTTGTTTCCTCAGCTGTGTTTCTTATCTGCAGTGATATAAAACACGACACCAGGACGGATGGGATTCTCTTCTTTTTGTGATATTTCCTTCTCATGATACCGTATCAATATCCTCCATCACTGTATGGATTTTTTTATCACCAATTATCATATCCTCCATCACTGTATGGATTTTTTTTATCACCAATTATCCGTCAAATATTCCTGGCGTTGGTTTGTTTTATTTCTTTTCTGGTGATTTCAAATGTAGATCCCTCTGTTCCAGATTCACTGTCTGCTCTATTTTTCCTCCTCCTTTCTTCCTGCCTGTCACTGTTGACTTCACTCTGTTGTTATTGTTGTTTTCTTTTTCTGACGTCCATCCTGACTGCGTGTGGTGCAGTTCTACATCTGGTTCTGTCTAATCACACAGTGATGAATGCTAATGGAGGTCACATGGGAGCAGCCGGAGAAGAAGGCAGCAGACTGAAGTCAGCTGAGCGTGAGAGGACGCAGAGACAGACGGCACACTGAGCCGGAGAAGAAGGCAGCAGACTGAAGTCAGCTGAGCGTGAGAGGACGCAGAGACAGACGCCACACTGTGATGAAGAAGAAGAAGGAGGAGAAGAAGAAGAGGAAGAAGAAGAAGGAGAAGAAGAAAAAGGAGAAGGAGAAGAAGAAGAAGAAGAAGAAGGAGAAGAAGAAGAAGGAGAAGAAGAAGAAGGAGAAGGCAGCAGACTGAAGTCAGCTGAGCGTGAGAGGACGCAGAGACAGACGCCACACTGTGATGAAGAAGAAGAAGGAGGACAGGAAGAAGAAGAAGAAGGAGAAGAAGAAGAAGGAGGAGAAGAAGAAGAAGAAGAAGAAAAAGGAGAAGGAGAAGAAGAAGAAGAAGAAGGAGAAGAAGGAGAAGAAGAAGAAGAAGGAGAAGGAGAAGAACAATAACAAGAACAAGAAGCAACAGAAGAAGAAGAACAAGAAGAAGATGCAGAAGAAGAAAAAGAAGAAAAGAAGAAGAAGCTTTTAGATTTGAGCTGTCGTTTTGTTCATATTCCGTCTGTTAATAACTCCTTGGTCGTCTCCTTCCTTTCTTCTCCTCTAGTTCTCTTCCACTCACCCGTCTTTACTTTAGCCCACCGTCCTCCACTCGTCCTTCCCGGCTCAAAAGCACTTAGCCACAGATTACCAGAAGACCTCTCACTGCGTCCACCTCTCCCTACATTACTCCGACCCCCCCCCCCCCCCCTCTCGTGGGTAGACGAGGTTACACGCTGTGATCTGCATGCAGGCCGGGACGTTAAAAGGCTGCCAGTGGGTTCGCAGCAGTCGGCAGCAGCTGTACGTTCACTCGATCAAAGTTTCATCAAAGGCTGGTGTCTCTTTGAGTCAGAGCCAGACAAGAACGGTGGAGGAGAGGGAGACGGAGCCCCGACGCACCTTCACCTGCTCCTTCTGTCCGTCTTTAAGGTCTTTCATCACTCCCTCTAATCATCTGTCCTCCCCTATGACACATTAGGACGTACAGAAAAAAAAAAAAAAAAAAAAACGATCTAAAAAAGAAGGAACGCTTCATCTAAAATGCTGCTCCGAATCAAATGGTGTAAAAGCTGAGACGGAGACTTGACTGCCAACAGGGGGCGCTGCAAAATGACCTACGTTTTTGTTGTATCACAACTAAGAAACCTCTAAAAAAAAAACTAAGTCAAGGGGCAAAAAACTCAATTACCCCTGCTTCCCACTTTGTTGTCGTTTCTCTGAAGAATTTAATTTGACCCTTGACCTTTCACGCTCCATGTCCAGTGTGAAGGAAGGGAGAAGGGAAGGAAAGTGAACTACTTGTCAGCGCTGCCTCATATCGTCTAGGGTCCGGAGATTGGCCCTGGTGTCACATGACCTCACACAGTCTCCGCTGTGGAGCAGCAGCTTCAGACTCTGACCACTGGGGGGCAACACATTTGAAACACTTCGTTTAAATTTGGCTCAAATATGGCCCAGTTTTTTTTGTCTCTCATTTCTAAAAGTACTTTTTTAAAATTTCTAAAAGTCTTCAACCTCTACTTTATCATGTGGACAACAACGCCCGTTTCTTACAGACGGTCGACTGTACGTCCAGGCGTACATGAAGATTATGTTCAGACATTTATTCTGTTACGCATTTGGATTTTCAACTGAATCGGTTCCAGACTGGAGCTCCCCAGGACTTTTCTCTCTCTCCTCACTCATTACTGCCCTTTGATTTCAGATTTAAAATTTGACAAGAGTCTCATCTGATGTAACAGTTACGTAACGTCTGAGCGTGGCTCACTGTTACCTGAAAAAAAAAAAAAACAACCCATTCAGTCTGGGTGTACGGCTCCACTTTATCTGCACGAGCTCTTATCAGGAGTGTGTTTGCCGAGAGCTGATTGGTGAAGGTTGAGGTTCAGCACTAAACAGGAGTGGAGTGAAGTTAAAACGACTGACGGTGTGGAAAATACTCATTAATCTGGGTCGAAGGGCGACTGAAAATAATTACAGATAAAATATTGTGTCTCAGAAATGATGTCATTTAGTCAAAGATCTGTTTTTTTATTTTCATAATTAATGAGTATAAACTGATGTGGTTTTATTAAGAAGGGCTGTAGGAAAATATCGCAATATTTTGTTTTAAGACATCGTAGTGATGTTGGTACGTAGAACTCAACGAGTACGTTTGACCGTTGAGGTGATTCTGGACCAGCAGCTGAAGTTGGTTTGATATTGGTGAATGGAACCCTTGTTTATGCCGAGAATGAATTACATTAATTTACACAAATGCAGTTCTGTGCATTAGAAAACACGACCCCCCCACTCCCCACACACACACCCTCCCCGACCCCCCAGGATCACATGCTCAACCTCTACCTCCACCCACAGGCTGC